GCTGGAATGTGCAAGTTAACAAGACCCCCCAGTGATCCACATGCACACAGGACATTTGTGAAGCACTATTTGAGGGGCAGTCTGACTCCACAAAGAACACTGACCTCAACCACATTCATTTCTTGAATGAGGATACAAGCCCAAGAGGGTAGGTCAACTGTACATTTTGCTCCTCTTCTTGTCAATAGTCCCCTGGGACAAGAGGAGTGTGGGACATGTCTCTTGTATGTCCACACAGTGTCAGCACAGAGAAACACATGTGGCTGTGGCCCAACAGTTGTCTGTATTCCATCAGGACTCTGAAATCCCCCTTTTAACCAGAAAAAAATTGTTTCCATTACTCATCCACTGAAGCACAGCAACAGATCCCCAACAGTCACTTGGATTGAGTTTCAACACCTCTGTTTTGAGTAATTGTACCACTAGCATCAGCTACGCCAAAGACCACAGTATTTGAATGAAGAGAAGCTGGCTCCACCCTACTGCCTTCGCAAGGAGGCTGCTGTGGTTAGTGTCACACTCAAAGAATAAGTAAAAAGCCAACCCCCCACTTGCTCTAAGATAACCACAGAGATGATAGCTGCTGTACATACAAACTAGGGGGAGAAGAAAGAAGAAAGGCAACAAAAAGAAGCCAAGAAAAGAGCCTCCCTCCTTGTGGCAAGAAGCCCGACATGCAGATCTTTCTGCTGAAGCATGAAGTCAAAGGTAAAATATGGTGACCTAGGAACTGTGCTCTCCTGGGCCCCTCTGCCCACACTTTCCCCCCTCAGCTGTCTTTCACTGGAGGACAGGGGTTTGCCCTCCAGCAGAATGCTAATTTCCACCTCCCAGGGAAAGTGCCTGATGGGGAGGCAGCCCAGTGCAACCATTAAACCAATGACCATGAATGAGAAAAGTTGAGATGTGATGCAAGGAAGGAGAGAGGTGGTTTTCTTCAGCCCACCTTTCCGACCTGACTGAGCCCGTCTCCAAAGAGCTCACAGCTTCCAGAGCTGCAGCTGTTGTCACCGTCACCCTGGGCTGTGGTCAAAAAGATGGCTCAACACTGTAACTCAGTCTCCACTTCCGGGTCTCATTTCCTTCCTTTGTCCAGCAGTGATGAAGGCCCGAGACAATAGAAAACCACCCACCTTGTTACCCCTATGATGAATTTATTTCCTTTATCACATTCAGGACCCAGCCAGGCACATCCATGTCACTCCAATGCCACATTCACCAGGTAACACTGTAGCTTCTATTGACATGTCCTAAGCTCCAAGGACCAGGGTGTGGCCAGTGCATCTTACTGACCACCTGGCACAGTGCCTTGCCTTCAGAAGTTGCTACATAAATGTTTAGGCCCTGAAAGAGCAAAGGAAACAATGGAGTCAATTCCACTGGATAGCATGTGACAGACCATAAAGGGTGAGCCATGGACTCTGTTATTTTCATTATATGCTGTCTCTGAAGCAAGTGAGCTCTCACCTATTTTCAGAGATGTTCTCTTATCATTGTCATGCCCATCATCACCATGCCACCACCAGCAAGAAACTGGAAAGGTAAGAAGTATAACTGTTAAGCCACATCCTTTAAAAAAATTGGAGGGTCCGGCAGTAGTAAGGATTGCTTGAGTGTGGTTGCTAGGGTACATGAATGTCTCACACAGATGGACAACAATTTGAATATTTCAACTAAAATGTCATATGGTGTGCGTGAGTGTGATATTGTTATGTTATAGAATTACATACTTATGATTTTGTAATAAAAAGGAGCATTATTTGTGCCAGACCCTGTATATTGACTAAAACATCAGGTCTACATCCAGAAGTTCTTGGATTCAGATGCCACTTCTGCCATGTACAATTTATGAATCTTGGTCAGGCGACTTCACTCTGTTAATGTTTCCTTGACTGTAAAATGGGAATAGGACTATTCTGTCCTGGTAGAGCTCTGGTGAGATGATACATGTAGCAGAATAATCCATTTGACTGTCTTGTTCATTTTTAGTGCTGGTCTCCAAGCAGCTGCCCTGGCAGTGCTAAAGTCACCAGCAAGCAGAGTCTCCCTTCTACTGAGAGATGAGAGAAAGGCATGGATGTAACACAGCCACTGCACCTTCAAGCACCTAGACGAGTAACACAGATGAGCCAACTTGTCACATGCAAAAGAAGCAGAATCACATCCACAAAAAATCTATCTTTTCCTTTTCTTCTCCAAAAAGACAACCTCCTTGGCTTTCATTTTCTAATTGAAAGAGCATGAGTACAAAAGGGATTCACCCTTACTTTTGAATCTACCATGAGAAAAAACAGTACCCTTGAGATGCTCAATGAAACAGAGGGAGAGGGAGGTAGTGGGAGAATGTGAAACAGAAGCAGGCCAGAGCTAATGTTAGGGACCCTCAGAAACAGCCGCTACTCAATCCAAACAGTTGTCCACATACAGTCCATTAGGACCCAGTGTTTCCAGTCTTTTTTGATAATTCAAGATATTTCAGAACTTTTAAATGTTACATTTGTTCAAGTATAGTACAAAATGGCTGTTTCACTCACTGCAGCAGGACTTGTAATAAGCAGCAAGTGACTGGAAACCACCTGTGTCCATCAGCAGCACTGGTTAAATAAATGATGGTGCCTCCACACAGTGGGGCCCCATGGCCCATGGAAAAGCTCTCAACATATTGATAGGGAAAGATCTCCAAGATAAGTGAAAAAAGCAAGGTAGAAAAAGTGTACAGGATACTATAATTATGTAAGAAATAAAGGGATGGAGGCAGAATGTGTTTGTACTGACTTGTATTCACAATAAGAAACTCTAGAAGAATGTATAAGAAAGTAATAAAAGTAATAACAGGAGAAGGGGCTGGATAGGCAGATGGAGGCCAGGATAAGATTTCACTAGATTTCTTTCTATAATGATTTGATTTTTGAACCAGGTAAATATAGTGCTTATATTTGCTTTATATTCAGAAAATAATATAAAAACATTTTGAATGCCAGCCATTGTAACCAAAACACATCTACAGGCTACAAATGGCCTGTAGGTGTCTGGTTTACAACCCTGCATTAAGGAATTCTACAATGGGGAGGCAGAGAGTTAGCTGCATAAAGTCCAGGTTTTGGAGACAAGTAGGTTGTTCAGTAACTAGTACTGAGAACTCTCTTGGAATTGCCTGGCAATGTGCTGGTTGGGCCCAGTAGCTCCTCCTCTCGTAGGGCAAAAGGGTGCAGCTTCCACAGGATGAGGTGGGGCTCCTCCACTTTGCTCCAAAGTTAAGGCTGCCTGGACCCCAGATGGTCTCTTTGCTCCCAGCCATTGAGCCTCTTCCTGACACATTCTATAAAAAGGTGGAGCAACAGGAATGTGGAATTCCTCCACTGGCACAGACAGTAGCGTGTGTGTCCTGCTGGGCCCCAACCCAAGCAAAGTTCCATGGAGAGTGACAAGGGAACAAAAAACATGTGCCCCTGCTGCCACTTCTCCCTGTCCCTTTCAGTCAGCACCTGGGGACACGGTTAATATTCATTCCTAGCCCTTTGTATGTCCTAGTCTTGTCCTGTGAATGAGCTCACTTCACGTTCTGGGTTGAATTGTGGTCTCCAATCTCCAAATAAAGACAATGTAGAGACCTGACCCCCAGTTCCTCAGAAGGGATCTTATTCAGAAATAGGGTCATTGTAGATGTCATTAGTTAAGATGAGGTCACACTGGAGTAGGATGAGCCCCTAGTCCAATGCAACTGATGTAGTCAAGCAAAGATAAAGACATGTAGAAAGAATACCATGTGACAATGAAGGCAGAGCTTGGATTACCAGGCTGCAAGCCCCAAAACACTAAAGACTGCCAGCAAACTACCGGAAGCGAGGGAGAGACAGGGAAGGTTGGAGAGCAAGCAAGGGCCTTGCCAGCACCTTGTCTTTGGGCTTCTCTCCTCCAGAATTGTGACATAATGTGTTTCTGTTTTTTAAATCATGTTTACGGTATTTTGTTTCAACAGTCCTAGGAAATGGATACCCTTGGGCCAGTTCAAGTGGCAAAGATATCTGATGCTGTTCATCTCAGGAGGTGCTCAACAGATACTGATGATGCCTCTGTCCAAATAAATGAAAATTCTGGGCCCTTGATTCATAAAGTCTTAGTGTGTAGGTACATGGCGAAAAGTCAACCAGTAATAATTGCTGAGTACTGATCTTGTAAAGAACATAAGAGAACTTATATACTGCATTACTGCCCTTAAGAAGTTGACAATCTGATCAAAGATTTAAGATAGACACATAAAATATAACAATGCATATAATGGCCAAAGAAATAAGTGTTACTTGACCTCCCCCCCAGTGAATACCATAGAAGCCACTCATAACCAAATCCCACTGTATCACCTCAGACTCAATTTTCTACATATTTCATTTTAGCTGCTCCTGATAAGTGTGTGCCTGGAAGAACTGGGCAAATTATAGAATGTCAGGCTAGTAGACAATTTCTAGAAGCTGTTACCAGTGCTTCTGGCATAGAACTAACATTCTCTGCCCACTGTGGCTATCCACTGCTGTCCATGATCATTATCTGCTACCCTTGGTGGAAGATTCTCTTATCAGTTTGTTACTGGCTTTCTCTTTCTGTTCAGACAGCCAGACCCTGAAGGGAAGACCAGCCTATTCCATGGCTCTCTACAGATCTGACAAGTAGAAAACAAGATCCACATGGTTTGGGAGTCCACTTTGGTAAATTGACTAACAGATTTTAATAGAGCTACAGAAAACTGGAGATGTCTGCAGAGATACTATTTTCTGTATCATCATTCAGCACACTTGCTTATTTGGCCCAGCCTTCTTGCAGGGGGCAGCTCCCACTATACCCTGCCTCTAGTAACCTTCAATTCTTACTGTAAGCAAGCCTCATGTCCAGTTACACACCTGGAGGTGGGGAGGTGGCACACCTTGACTGAATCCCCTGGAGCTCTCCCTGAATCCCATGTGTCTGGGGTCTGGCTGCTCCAGGGTTCTTCCTGCAGCTCTTACCTTGGGAAGAGATGTGGCCGTGCTGAGTGCCAGGTGGCACCCCAGGCTGGGCTCATGAGGAAGAGCACAAGTTGTGGCTGCCCCACCCTTGACAAACAGCCTGATGACCTGGTAGTGGCTCCCGGCCAGTGTCCTGAAGGCAGCTGTAGTCAGTGAAGGACCTGCAGGTGGGACAGACAGAGGAAAGGTCTCCTCATTTTGACTTCAAGTCATTCATTTTAGGTTCTCAGGGTAGAAAAAATTCTTAAAGTCATCTAATTTTTATCCTGTGATTTCTCAAAACAAACTGGCAGCTGGGTTCTGGGTCAGGTATTGCAGCTATTGCTCACCTCAACAACACCACCTCTCCCTTCCTCCTTTCTAACAGAACTCCAATTCTGTTCACTATTCAGGGTAAGCCACCTATGCCCAGCTCAGTGGCCACATCCAGTCAAAGCAAATGCTGGCCCCTGGCCAGGAGTAGGTTAGAGGGGGGCTTCTGACCCAAATCTGCCCATTGAGACATGAGGAGGGGCCTCTTGAATTGTTCCTGGGAACGTTTTCCTGGCTCTTAAAAGGAAGATGCAGGAATCCCTCCTCGTTCAGCTACACTGTGACCTTCTGTAGACACACTGTGACCTTGAGAGGGAAGTGAGAGGGAAAAGCAAGGAAAGACAAAAGAACCTGGGTCCTTGGTGATGTCTTGGACCCATGGACTAAACAGCCCTTCCTCCAGGCATCCTATGACAATAGTAATAAATATCCCCATTGCTTGTGTCCACTGTGTTGGTTTTTTTTGCTACCATGGTTAAGATTATCCTAAGTGATGTGCACTCAGATGTTCCCAAGAAGACAGGACCATGTTCCTGAAGAATAATCCCATTATACTGACTACAACATCCCCAAACATCCATGCCATTCTTTCCTCTCCACCTTTTCTTGGCACTGAACCCTTTGCCTATACTCATTTTACCATATTTTTAGTTCTACAGTATAAGTCCATTCAGCCATTTAATTGAGAAACATTTTTTTACTCCCTTTGATGTAACAGATTGAAAAATGAAGCCCTGGAGAGTGCACAGTGGGCGAGACTCTCTGATCATGCCACATACCTCTGGGATCATGCCCCACATGAACTTGGTGTGCTTCTTGAGGCTCCCACAGCAGCTACCCACTGCTGTGCCTCAGCTTGCTCCATTCTTTGTTGCTTCATGGCCCTTGCTGAGGCCCACAGCCATGGAGTTGCAGAGAGCCATGGCTTCTATTCCTCCATGGCTGATGCAGCAGCAGGGTTACACATGGATTTTTTAAACTGATCTTTTGTTTCAGACATTCATTGTTCAAGTGGGTCATTTCCTACTCCAGGAATCCCACATATGCATGGATTTTCAACTGCAAGGGAAGTGGGCTTCCCTAACCACACCCTCCATCCCATCCTCCAAGCTGTTCAAGGGCCAACTGTAGCAACTGGTGATGGTCCTTCCTTCTCATTGCTGACTCTCTTTGCAGTGTACACAGCAGTTCCAGACTCTGCTTTTAAATCTTTACAGCAGTGTAGTGAGGTGAGTATTACGCTGCATATTGTACATCCATCCAACTGTGCATATGAAATAAAATTATAACTGAAAACACTTAGTAAACTGTAAAATGCCCCACAAATACACATGATTTAATTACCTTCAATTTCATGTGAGGAAAACATAGGTAAGAAATGTCAGCCCAGGCTTAGAGCTTCAGGACTAGTGCTATTTGTTTCCTTGACAACATCAAGGAGAGATGGGTTCTGGATTTACCTGTCCTCCTGCACCCTCACCCACCAAATTGTTGCCAAGTGAAAATTAGGCAGAGAACTTAAAGGAGACCAAGATAACTTCTCTTAGCTGCTTTATATTGCTTTGACTTCTTTATCCTTAATGAAATGGAGGGTCAAGGACAGAGCTGGAAAGGGTGTCTCAGCAACTGTGGTATTGGGGTTCAGAAGCTGTGTCTGAGGCATCTTTGTCTGCTTCTATCTCTCAGTTTAGGGAGATCCTCAAAAAAACCTTGCACAAGTGGCACCTATTATATGAATTTTTAAGATTAGTATATCATGATTCTGAAAGCTTAAATAACTGGGTTCAAGTATCCCAGATGATAAGAAATCACAGCAAGATATAACAATAGTTCTGACTCCAAACCTCTGTTACTTCTTCAACAGCAGACTGAGAAAATCCATTTTCATTTCTTTATCCTTTTGAAAAGATCTGGCTTGTCTTTTCCTTCTGGCTGCATTTAAGGTATTCAATTTGTCTTTGGTGTTCTGCAATCTTGCTGAGATATAACTGGTAGTGGATTTCTTCCTCTTTATTATTCTTGGGCTTCATTGGCATTCTTGAATATGTGTATTTTTGGTATCTTTCATTACTTGGTAAAATTCTTAGCCATTATATATTCAAATGCTCTCTCTCTCTCTTTCTCTCTCTCTCCTCCTTCTGGGACTTCAGATAGACATGTTAGCCACTATTTTTCATGTCTCATAGCCCGTTCATATTTTTCTGAGTCTTTGTCTTTCTGTGCTGTATTTTGGTTAATTGATTTAGATGTAGCTTCTAGCTCATTACTTCTTTTTCAGACTGTCTCCAATATGCTATGAAGTCTGTCCATAGATTGTAATTCAGTTATTTAATTTTTGCTCCTAAAAATTCTCTTTAGTTCATTAAAAAAATCATCTTGGTTGTTCTTTAAGATTTTTCTTTGTTCCCTACACATATTTGCAAGCTTGTCTTCAACTTTAATAATTACATTATAGTCATTATTATAGTCAGAACCTGGATTATTCTATTATCTGAAGAAGTCCCTGGTCAGCAAATTCCTTTCTTTCTTGTCAGCTCATCAGTGCTGAAAACACTGTTGCTTTTTTAAAAATATTTTATTCAAGATCTTTGTGTTTTTTTCCCCCAGTGGGAGGGTCAGTCTAAGTGCTTAGCCTGCCATACTGGGGGACATAAAAATCTAGTATATTTATTTAAAATTATAAAATGATGAGAGGGAAAAGTAATCAAATGGAGATGGGCCCTTAGGACCTAAAATTGCCCACTCTATTGAAGGCATTTTATGAATGCCCTGAGCAGTGCATGAGGTCCCTTAGTGAGAAGCCACTCACATTGTGGCTTGCCCCCAGAGTGGCAGGGCCATGGAGACTTTGTCTGCTGGTACTCCATATCCAGAGGACATGACACCACAAGTGGCATGACAAAACAAGAGGAGAATATTTTCAGGAGCCTTCCTGTTGGAAGGTATTGTTTTATCTCTAAGGGATTAGAGGCCGTTTAGGAGAGGAAGGCCTCCTGAGACCTGTTCCCTAGTTGCTGGTGTGAGCCCCACCAGAGCCACTGGGGCTTGGCTGTATCTCTGCTTGTAATGTAGGGTTCATGCTCTTCCATCTTGGTAGTCTTCTGGGATTATTCAGGATAGAGGTAGGGGGACCTCAGAGACCAGGCTGACCTCAACCTCTCCTCCCCCTCGACCACATCCAGTCTCTCAGTCCTGTTGACCTCACCTCCTAAATAGAATCTGCTCACCTGTACATACCCATCTGCCATCACCCTGGCTCAGTACACTACCATTTCTTGCCTGAAACATAATAATTTCCTAATTGATATCACTGTATCTACTCCCTACCCCTCCCTTACCTACTAAATTCATTTCCCATAGCAGCCAAAATACTCTTTAAAAAAAATGAAAATTAGATCATGTCTTTCCCAAACATTTAGGTTATTTCCTACAACTGCTTCAATGAAGTCCCAGATCCCTAACCTGGTCCACAAAGCTCTATGTTTGTAACCTTACCTGCTGTATTAAAACTGTTTTAGCCCCTTGGCTTCCTTCTATTTCCTGAACTCATACAAGCTCTTTCTCTCTGAGGGTATCTGTGCCTGCTCTTCTTTCTCTGAAGAACATCCTTCATCCTACTTCCTTTTCTCACTCCTACTCATCTTGTTGGATGCCACTGAAATGTCCCTTCCTTCCCCTCATCTTCCATCTGTTAGTCTTGTTGCTGAGTTCCCTATCACAGGTATTCTATATGTGGTCATCTATGTCTTCATAGAGCACTTACCTCAGTTGTGATCCCATAATTGTTTCTGTACTTTCTGTTCCTTGCCTTGCTAAGGTACCACATAGGCTTGGGGGAAGATTAAATGAGTTAGTACTCAGAAAGCACTAAAAACAGTGCTTTACCACTTCCTGGTAAAAGCTGGTTCATGTATGTCCTGCTTGTCACTATATCCCTGACAAAAAGCACAAAGCCTGGCATGTAGTACATGTTGTTCATTCAGAGAACAAATCTATGAATGAATCCCTTCACTGGAACTGCTCTTCCTGAGTTCATCTGTGGTCTCTTCATTGTTAATCCAGTGTTTTTTCTCAGCCTTCATACTTGACACCTCCACATTTGAAACCCTCTATTTCTTCAAGCATTCTCCAACTTTCCTCTTCATTTGATTCTGAAATATCATTCTTCCCTTTGTTTTCTCTTCTCTCTAAGCTGTTTCTGAGCCACCTTTGCTGTCTTGCTCCAGCTCCCACTTCCACATTAGCGTCCTGCATGATTCCAGCCTTCACTTTTTCTCCTAGTCTGTGAGCAGTCCTAGTTCTGCCTATGGTTCCAGCCATCACATTTATGCTGTTGAACCCCAAACCTACAATATCTAGCCCTGGCTCAAACCCTGAGCACCAGATCCTCCTTCTTCCTTACATCTTGAAATATCTTCATCTCAATGTCCCCCAGACACCTCAATCTTCACACTTCTGAAATGGAACCAAGTGTCCTCTCCACCAATCTTACTCCTCTTCCAGTATTGCCATTGCCAGTCTGGCTAAATAGTCTCACCACTGAGGTAACCTCTAAAGGTAGAAGCCCTGGCATCATCTTGGATACCTTGGCCAGCTTCCTGTGCCATGCCCAACTGTTGCCTCACTCTGTCTCTTGAATCTGTGCCATTCCTTTCTCTGCACTGCCTCAACCTCTGTGCAATTCCTGCTGTTGCTGGTCTGCACCATCACCTCATCTCTTACCTTGGCTCTCTTCTTCTGGCTTCCTTCTCCTCTGGTCCATTCTTAGCATTAATGCCAGAGATCTCAGCCCAAAGAGCAAAGCTTTATCATGCCACTTCCAGCTTCATGTCCACCTTTATCCCTAATG